CCGTTTTGAATTGCTTGGAAACTTCCCGAAAAAAGTCTCCATTTTTGGCTGAAATGCCTCCTGCGTTGGGCGTGTGCCCAAACAGCATTGCCTGAAGCGGGGCGGACACTGAGTCTGCAATGGTGGGTGTTCCAGAAGCTTCTGTCGGGCCCAGGCTATTGATCACCACCCAGTTTTCAGCGCATGGGCCCTTGTTGTTTTGGTTTAAGGTTTCTTCCCGCTCAGGGGGGCCGGGGGTACGGGGTGGAGAGACATTCACAGGCACCAGACATTCCCATCCATCTTCGCCTTTTCTTGGAGGAAAGGGGTGAGGAGTGAAGACTGAGACAGTCCGGGAGGGGAGGCTGGTGGCTCACAGGGGCCACCCTGAGCTCCCTGCCACTGCCCACCCCCCTCCACATGTGTCCGTGTGTTTGCAAGTTTGTGCTCCCACGAGGGAAAGGGCTCCGAGTGGAAACTCCAGGGGCTACCTCTCCACCAGGGTTTCTCACCCTCAGCGCTGGGGATGATGGGAACCGGGTACTTCTTGGATGTGGAGGCCTGTCCTGTGTATCGAAGGGCATTTAGCAACGTCCCAGCTTGTACCCTTTCCATCCTAACCCTGGCAATCAGAAATGTCTCACCCTTACCAGTGTGGCTCAGTGGGTTGGGTGTCATTCCACAAAGCGAAAGATCGCCAGTTCAATTCCCGGTCAGGGCACGTACCTGGGTTGTGGGTTTGGTTGCCTTACAAGAGTCAACTGATCAATGTATCTCTCTCACATCGATGTTTATCTCCTTCTCTTTCTCCCTCATTTCCCCTCACTCTAAAAATAAAGTTTTGTGTTTTTTTAAAAGATTTTTTAAAAATGTCTTCAGACACTGCCAGACCGCTCCTGAAGGCAAAATTGCCCTCCGTTGAGAACCGCTGGTCCAGACCCCGCTGCGAAGCCCTCTTTCTGCCCCCCACCCCCACGCCTTCCCGGACTCGGCCTGACTGCTCCACCCCTTCCGCCCCCACCCCGCCCCACCCCGCCCCCACCCCGCCCCCACCCCGCCCCTCTCCCTCAGCCGAACCAGGCACCAGGCTGGCGGAACAACTTAGCCTCAGACCGAGTCAGCTGGCTGCTCAGCGGTCGGCAAACTGGCCCACCTGGGAGCTCGTTTGAAAGCAGAGAGCGACTGGTGTCCATGACAGTGCCTGGAATGTTCTAGGTGCTCAGCTGAACCAATGGACAGCATTGTGTGAAGAACATAGGACACACAAAGGGAATGCGTTCCTGGAGAAGCAAAAATACAAGGAAGCACTAAAACCCAAAAGATTGGCCCAAGCTCTGTGGGCCAAATTGGGCAGAACAGGCCTTCCTACCCGGCTGGCGTGTTTGGCCACATCTGGCATTGTGCTCGCTGGCCCAGCAATCTCACCTCCAGGACTCCGTCCCAAAAGCGCAGAGGCGGAAAGAGAAAATTCTGTTTGCACAGAGATGCCCTGCGGCATTCTTTTGGTTGCAAAAGATCTGGACCACTCGGGAGTGGCCGTCCCCAGGGCTCTGGTGAATAGTCCTCAGCCAGCCGTACACCCCAGTGCTCCGACGCTGTGAAGGGGAACCAGGAAGTTCTCTGTGCACTGGGTGGAGGGGCCCCTGGGACAGATCGAGGGAGGAAAAGCGAGAGCAGAGTAGCACGCGGAAGGCTGCCTTTTGATAGAAGATGGGGGGAGAAAACATCCTGCACAGCTCATTATATTTGCAAAAATCAATGCAGAAACATAAAGCCAAACCGAGTTAAGAATCAGGTCCCTGCACTTGGAGGGAGAGAATAAGAGGAAACACTGAGTGCAGAGAACAATCCAGAGAAAAGGGTGACAGCGTGGGCGGGAGGGGCGGCTGGGCCACCGGACCCCATGGGACACCTGCTGCATCAGGCCACACTGCCAAGACAGGGGCTCAGAGCAGCTCTGCCTAACACACGGAAACCAACACAGGGAGGCTGCCAAAACGAGGAGACGAAGAAACGTAGCCCAAGTGAAAGAATAGATTAAAACTCCAGAAAAAGAACTAAGCACAACGGAGATAAGCAATCTATCAGATGCGGAGTTCAAAACACTGGTTATCAGGATGCTCAGGGAACTTAGTGAGGACCTCAGCAGCATCAAAAAGACCCAGTGAGAAATGAAGGACACGCTGATGGAAATAAAGAACAATTCACAGGGAAACAACTGTAGAGTGGACGAACCTGATAATCAAATCAATGATTTAGAACACAAGGAAGCAAGAAACAACCAATCAGAACAACAAGGAGAAAAAAGAATTAAAAAACAAATGAAGATAGTGTAAGCAGCCTCTGGGACAACTTCAAGCAACCCAACTTTTGCATCAGAGGGTGCCAGGAGAAGAGAAAGGGCAAGAAATTGGAAATTTATTAGAAAAAATAATGAAAGAAAACTTCTCCAATTTGGTGAAGGAAATAGACTTGCAAGTCCAGGAAGCACAGAGTCCCAGACCAGATGGATGCAAAGAGGCCCACTCCTAGACACATCATAACTGAAATGCCAAAAGTTAAAGATAAAGAGAGAATCTTAAAAGCAACATGAGAAAAGCAGTTAATTACATATGGGGGGTTCCCATAAGACTGTCAGCTGCTTTCTCAATGGAAACTTTGCAGGCTAGAAGGGTTTGGCAAGAAATATTCTAAGTTGTGAAAAGCAGGGACCTACACAAGATTGCTCTACCCAGCAAAGATGTCATTTAGAATCAAAGGGCAGATAAAGAGCTTCCAAGACAAGAAAAAAATAAAGGAGTTTATCACCACCAAACCATTACTATATGAAATGTTAAAGGGACTTATTTAAGATAAAGAAGATCAAAACTATGGACAATAAAATGGCAATAAACATATCTATCAACAGGTAAATCTGAAAAACAAACTAAGTGAACAAGAAGACCAGAGACAGGATCATGGATACAGAGAGCGTTTTGACGGCTGACAGATGGGAGGGTGTTGGGGGAATGGGTGAGCGGTGCGGGGACTAAGAAGTACAAACAGGCAGTCACAGAGCAGCCCTGGGGAGGTCAAGTGCAGCGTAGGACATGGAGCAGCCTAGGAACTTACACCATGACCACGGACGTGAAAATGGTGTGGGGACTGCTTGAGGGAGTGGAGGGTGCTGGGTGGAGGGGGGCAAAAGGGGAAAAACTGGGACCACTGTAATAGCATAATCCATAAAATATAGTTAAAGATGTGATTTTTTAACATGGAATTTTGGTTATAATGACACCCTAGATCTTTTTAAAAATATATTTTATTTATTTATTTTTAGAGAGATGAGGAAGGGAGGGAGAAAGAGAGGGAAACATCAATATATGGTTGCCTCTTGCACACCCCCTGCTGGGAACTGGCCTGCAACCCAGGCATGTGCCCTGACTGGGAATGGAAATGGCAAATTGCAGGCTGGTGCTCAATCCACTGAGCCACACCAGCCAGGGCTATTACTCTAATATATTTTTTAAAGATTTTATTTATTTATCTTTAGAGGGGAAGGGAAGGAGAGAGGGAGAGAAACATCAATGTATGGTTGCCTCTTGTGTGTCCTCTGCTAGGAACTGGCCTGCAACCCAGGCATGTGCCCTGACAGGGAATCGAACTGTGGTTGTTTGGTTCCCAGGCCCGTGCTCAATCCACTGAGCTACACTGGCCAGGGCCCAAAGATGTGAGTTTTAAAAAAGGAAAGGGTGAGTATTACTGTCCTGAACGAAATGGCGTCTGGAATGTTACTAAATAAAAATAGGCTCATTGAATTACCAATGTGTTCAGCATGATTTCATGCTTGTACATTTTCTTGAAAATAATTTTTTTAAAGATTTTATTTATTTATTTTTAAAAAGAGGGGAAGGGAGGGAGAAAGAGAGGGAGAGAAACATCGATCAGTTGCCTCTTTCTCTCTCTCACGTCCCCAACCGAGGACCTGGCCCCCAACCCAAGTATGTGACCTGACCAGGAATCGAACCTCAACCTTTCATTTGTGGGACAACGCCCAACCCACGGAGCCACATGGGTCAGACTTGCTTGTACATTTTTTTAAATGCACATGTGTAGTCTTATAAAGTACAGAGAGTGGAGCTGGGGAGGCGGATGTACCTGGTTTTACTTTATTCCCTTCTGCGTTGTTTGAAGCTGTTACTGTGACAAGCAGTGATATTACTTGTTATTAAAAATATATATATATATATTTAGTAAGAAAATCAGCTACACAAGGAAGTGCTGAACAGGGAAGCATTGGTTCTAAGAGGCAAATGAGTGCAGTGAAGGGGAGGAGGTTTCATGTGGACTTAGGTAGTCAGGGAGGGCTCCCTGGATGAGGGAGCAGTGAGCTAAGCTCTGGGGGATGAAGGGTCAGCATTCCTGTCCCTGGATAAAAGTTAAATGTGGAAATAGTAGCTGAACATCCTTCCCCTCTGTAAATGGGGAGCGATGAGGATCCAGCACCGACCTATAGGGTCCCCACAAGCACCCAATGATCTGTGGGTGCTAAGGAGCCTGGGTGCAGTGGACCCTTTGAACTGTGACTCTTACTGCTTTTTACTGCATATCATTTTAATTAAACAACAAATGTCGATGGAGGGATTACCACAGGCTAGAGCCCAGACCAGGTGCTAAGGACCCCCCCACCCGTCCCTGGACCCTCCCTGGCCAGGTAGTTGTCCCTCATGGCAGCAGGTGCCCACCCCCTGGCTCCACAGGCAGAGCCTGGCGCTTTTGCTCACCATTATATAGCCCAGGGCCCTGGCACTGAGCCTGCCTCACAGGAGGTGCTGGGTGACTGTGTGGGAGAATGAATGAATGAATGGACGAATGAACGAAGGAGTGAATCAAAGGGAGGCTCAGTAGAGCGCTGAGCAGGCAGATGCCTGGGTGCCTTTCCCAGCGCCTCTGGGTGCAGGAGTGGCCTTTCCTGGCCTGGCTGTGGACACCCACCGCGCCATGGCCTCCGCCCCACTGACCCTCGGGTTCCTCCCCCACAGGTGAGTGTCCCAGTCCTGGGCGCGGAAGCGCCACCAAGCGGAAGAAGAAGCAGCGGCGGAACCGCACCACGTTCAACAGCAGCCAACTGCAAGCGCTGGAGCGCGTGTTCGAGCGCACGCACTACCCTGACGCCTTTGTGCGCGAGGAGCTGGCCCGGCGTGTCAACCTCAGCGAGGCGCGCGTGCAGGTGAGGGCGGCCCATCGGTCGGCCATCTGTGGGGCCGTGCAGTGACCATTGGCTCTGGCTTAGGGACTTGCCCAGGTGAGGCATTTAAGAGCAGGAACATCTGGGGCCAGGAGGGCTGAGGTTCAAACCCCAGCCCTGCCACTTACTAGCTGTGTGACCTGGAGTGAGTTACTTAACTTGTCTGTGCCTTGGGTGCCTCCCTGTGCAATGAGGGTCCCGGGGGTCTGTTTCCTAGAGGTCCTCTGAGAATTACAGGAGTCAGTACATTGTAAAGTGCTTGGAGCTGTGCCCGCCACAAAGGGTTCTGATAAATAAAAGTCGTTGTGAAGTGTCCTGTCCACTGCGCCAGCCGCGAGCTGAGAGCTCAGCATGCAGCTCCCTCGCGATAACCTCACAACAGTGAAGTGTCATTTATTGGCCGTTTCATCCATTCACGCCCCCCTTCTCTAGCACACTCTCTCACCCCCACTTTACAGACGTGAAAAGTGGGGCTCGCAGAGGTGAAGCTGCCAGTCCCGGGCTGGGAGCGGAGCAGGCACACGCTGGGTTCAAAGGGACCGGGGTCCCCTTTGCGGCCGGCTCCACCCTGCTCACCGTGCCCTCCCACCCCCAGGTCTGGTTCCAGAACCGCCGGGCCAAGTTCCGCCGCAACGAGCGGGCCATGCTGGCCAACCGCTCCGCCTCGCTGCTCAAGTCCTACAGCCAGGAGGCCGCCATCGAGCAGCCTGTGGCCCCCCGGCCCACCGCCCTGAGCCCAGATTACCTCTCCTGGACGGCCTCGTCCCCGTACAGGTGAGAGCCAGGACCCTCTCAGGGAAGGAGGGGTCACAGCCAGGGGACCCCGGGGCGTGTCAGGGCCCAGGCTCCTCTGAGCATCTGAAGAGACCTGTGAACTGTGCCCACGAGCCCCTTGGACTGGGGGCCCACCTGGTGGTATGTGGGCAAGTGTTTGAGTGTGTGCTTGTGAGTGTGTGTGTTGCATGAGTGTGTGAGTGCACAGGAGTGTGCGTGTGCATGCACACTCCTGTGCACGTGAGCGTGTGGAAGGGTGAGAAGACCAGGCCTGTCTGGAGGGGAAGGGAAGAGCCGCTGCCACCCTCAGGCGCCCTGTAGGACGGCTGGTGAGAGAGCCCAGCACCGCGCCCACCCTCCTGGCCAGAAACTGAGCCCAGGGGGGCTGAGAGAATGGCCTCCCCATCCTGGGGACCCAGCGGGGTTCCAGAGCCAAGTCCTGGGGCAGTTTCTGCTGGTCAAACCTGGAAAAAAGGCTCCGCCCAAGGTGGCAGGGTGAGGCAGAAGAGGGAGGGGGTGCTAGGAATCTGTTCCCCACAACTCCAGGGGGTGCCCCTTAGTCTGTGAGCAGCTCTGCTGGAGCCCTGGTCTCCTCAAAGGTGAGATCCAGCAGGTCAGCTTGTGGGATCGGAGTCCTAGTGACGCCTGAGATCTCTCCCAACTGCCCCTGCCCCGTCCTCACCTGGGGCAGGAGAATCACGCAGAGGCACCCTTAAACAGAGGTGTGTGTTCATTCACCTGCAGCCCGCGCAGGTGCTGGGGTGAACGGGACTCGGGCTCGGCTCTCAGGAAGCTCCTGGTCCAGCGAGGAACGTCCACACACCACTGTGCTGGCTGTGGGTGCTCCTGACCCCTCCCCAAATGCTGCAGCCCCTTGTCACCCCACCCCCAGCGGAAAGCTTCCTGGGAGAGCAAGCTGAAGAGGGGGGGGGCGGGAGAGGCTGGGGTCCAGGACAGGCAGCCAGAAGTGCCCCGGGCACCACGCCGGCCACACCCAATGCGTCCTGTGTCTTGTGTCGCCCCCAGTACAGTGCCACCCTACAGCCCTGGAGGCTCCAGCCCGGCAACCCCAGGGGTCAACATGGCCAACAGCATCGCCAGCCTCCGCCTCAAGGCGAAGGAGTTCAGCCTGCACCACAGCCAAGTGCCCACCGTGAACTGACCGCCTGCCCTGTGGGGACCCGGCTGCCTGCCTGGTCTACAGTGACAGAAAAGAGGGCAGGCACACAGGAAAGTGACCTCCTCCTGTCCCTGTCCCCAGGGTTCTCCTGGCCCTTCTGTCCAGCCCAGACTCCTGGGACGGAGAGGCTGCTGAGATGCCAAAAGCCTGGCTGGAGACTTCGGCCCATGACCCTCAGAGGTGTTGGGCTGGAAGGTGGAGCAGGAGCTAACCAAGGACCTCATTTACTTTGTGTATTAAAACCAAATAGCTTTTGTCTTTAAGAAATAAAAAGTTGTTTAAGCCCAAAAAGGTTGTGGGAGGGCAGGTACGGGCAGCAAACCAATTAGGGGCCGCCATCCAGGGTCCATGGAGACTGGGTCCAGTGGCCAGCGAGGCCAGCTGTCCACACATCTGTCTCCTTCTGAATGAAGTCCTGCCTCACCCCACAGAGCCCCAGGGTGGGGACAGGGACAGGAGGACAAAGAGCTGCCCCAGACTCTGTGGACATGCAGGGTCTAAGTGACTCTGAGCAAGAGGACCCCTCCCCTGTCTAAGAGGTCAGGGAGTGACCCCCCTGCCCTAGGGCACGGTGCAGATGGGTGACCACGAACTGGCCAGAAGGTGTATGGGCAGATGCTGAAATGAAATTCCCTGTTTTTGTGAATACAAAAAGTGGGGGACCCCTCTGAGCATTTGACTGTGGAGGAGCCTGGGCAAATGGCCCGCAAAGTTGGGGCACAGAGCGGAGGTCCTAGGCAGGCTTACAGGATGGAGTAGTCCCAACGGTTCAGGACACCAGAGGGCTTTGCTCAAGCCCCCCAAGCCACCTTTTTGCAGGTGGTAACTGGGGGCGACAGAGGACACCTGTGCCACCAGCCAGTGACACCAATGAGGAGCTACAGAAAACTGCGGGGTGAGGGCAGTGGTCTGAAGCCAGCCCCTCCGCCCGGCCCTCTGCCACCCCTTCAAAGTTCATGTCTGGCACTTCAACTAGCCCCCAGGAAATAGGACGGCGCTCCCTGACCCTCGAGGGTGCGAAGATGACCAGCCCCTTCGTTTGGGCAGCCCTCACAGTGACATAGTGGTCACGCACGCCCTGACGGGGTCAATATTGTATCATCTGCCAGCCCCACAGCCTCGGAGCACCCCTAAAGGGCCAGCGGTCCCACCTACAGGCCACATCTGGATGACCTCAGTCAGGTCCAAGCTACGTGACAAAGGCTTGCTTGAGGGAGGGTCCCATTTTTGTTTTAAGAAGTATGGTGACTATACCCATGAGTGAGGTGAGGACCCCTCCCCAGTCTCCCCCAATTCACCCCTCGATGACCTCCCTTGTACTCTGCCTGGAACTCCACCGTGAAAACATGGTCCTTGTGGGCGGAGCTTGGCCCTGTCTGATGTGCAGACGTGAGTGGGGATGCTCACTGCGTGACTTCCTGGTGGCTGGATGGTTGGGACTCAGTCAGCACCAAGGGGGGACCGAGGGGGACCAGGGAGGCACAAGCTGGAGCTGAAGCCGTGGGAGGGGCCATGCTGCTCACGCCCTGACTTGGCTCGGGCCCACCTGACAGGAGGGCAGGGCTGGAGCCGGGGAGAGAGCTGCACCTGGACAGGTGTACCCGTGGATGCAGCCAGGGCTGCGTTTTCTCACTCAGTGTGGCCTCTGCCTCGGGCTTTTTGGGCCTTCATTGCCATTAATCACTGAACAAATATTGTGGAACAGCCACTCTGCACCAGGCCCTGAGGAGAAAGCAGAGAGGACCGACATAGGGTCCCTGGCTGCAGAGGCCATACCCAGCACACGAGGCCCCAGACTTAGTCTAAGGCATCTAGGCAGACTTCCTGGAGGAGGAGTCTGAGAAGGATGAAGCGTTCACCAAACAGAGAGGAGAGGGAGAGCGGTGCTTCTGGCTCAGGGAAAGCAAATGGGAAGGCCCTGGGGAAAGCCAGCAGCCGTCTCTTCGGGGCAGTTCCAGGGCTGGGTGTCCCGGTGTGGAATGAACACATGCAGGAGCCAGCTCCTGTGGGACAGGTGTGGCCAGGTCTAAAAGTTTGGATGTCACCCTGGCACTCGGAAGCCACGGAGGGGATTTGCTTGGAGGAGGAAGCTGCACCCTGGGCGCTGTGTGGAGGCTGGGGCAGGCGTCCAGGCAGAAGAGACAGCATCCTGGGCCAGCTGGGGTCAGGTGTCAGATCGGGGAGGTGTCCTGGACACAGCAGGGTCGGGGGCTGATGACGAGATGATGGGCTGGGGAGAAGGCAGAGGCCAGGGGGCCAGGATCTGGCTTAGGCACCCGGAAGTGCCCGGGGAGGAAGGAACCCTGGGAAGGAGACCTGCCTGCTAGAAGTCCCTGGAAGATGCTGGTTGCCTTCCACGTGGACAAGAGTGGGACCATCCTGGTCTGAGTAAGAGTCCTCCCTCACACAGAGCTGACCCCTCCCACCTGGCAGGGGCTTTGCACCAACCAAGGGCTGGCATGGAGCCCAGAGCAGGGAGCTCCTAGGCAGCCAGTGTCTCTTTCCTCCCCAGAAGCCCTGAACAGGGAGCGAGAAACCGAGTGGCTGGGCGCCCAGCACCCAGGCACCTCCGGCGATCCAGCATTTGCGCAGATGCAGGCCCGCGGGTCTTGCTCTGTGCAATTCAAAGTTGGGGTGGGTGCCCCGAAGCTGGCTAGGTTGGGGCAGTCTGCAGCAGAGATGGGGTCAAGGGGAATGGGGGCGGGGCGGGGCTCCCGCTGAGGGCCTGGAAGGCAGGTCCCAAAACTGCCAGCTTTGGCCAAAGCCAGGGCCTGGTTCCCACAGAGGCACTGGCCCTGCGGTGGGACGCAAGTATGTCAGTGTCACTTCCTCCCAAGTGCTCTAGAAAAAACAAACCCGCTTAACTGTTTACACATGTTGCTCGGGGCGCTGAGGGAGGGGCGCGGGCCCTCCCTGTGAAAGAAAATACATCCAAACCTCGCTGTAGCAGGGCAGCCCCAGTACAGGGCCATGCGGAGCCTCCTGGGCACCAGGCCCCGGGGATAACTTTCCACGAGGGGCAGGTACCCAAGGCCCCATCCCAGGCTGGGAGAACTCAGAGCGTCTTTGTCTCCCTTTGTGTGTGTGTGTGTGTGTGTGTGTGTGTGTGTGTGTGTGTGTGTAAAGGAAATTCATTTGAGAGAGAAATGGGGAGAAAGGCAGCCTGGCTCTTGGGAACCCCCAAACCTGAGAAATGATGCCCAGAGCTTTACAATGAGTGAGGCACTTCTCTGGTCCTCAGTTTCCCCCTCCGTAAACGAGAGTAATCACAGAAGCCACTTCCTAGGGTTTATTGGCACCTTACTCTCCACAACTGGGGCTTGCGTGTCTATGGCGAAGGAGCACAGGGAGCGGTGGAGTCTGAGGAAGTCAAAACTCTTCCCGTCCTGGGGGTAGCTGGCACTGTCCCTGCCCGGGAACCCGGTACACGCGTTGCAGGGGCCTGGAACCTTAGGAGCACCGATTGGGGACCAAACCGTGTCTTCAGCTCCTGCACCCCCGCCACCCGCCCCTGGAGGGCACTGTGGGGCCACAGAGCAGGGAGAACACCGCCCCCTGCCCACACAGATCACCCAGCCTGCAGCAAGCTCCAGACGCAGCCTTCCTTCTCTTGGAAGACAAAGAAACCAGCAAATCCCCAACCACCAGCAGGGGTCACAGCAAGAAAATCAGCACAAGTTTTCCGGAAAATGCACCAACAGCCTTGAAAATGTGTGCGTGCTCTTGCTCAGAAATTTCACGTCTAAGCCCACGTGGAGAAATAATCCAAAACGGGGTGGGGGTGGAGGGAGTGTGCCCAGATGTTTCTCACACCGCAACGCCAAAAATCTGGGAAGACACACACCAAATCGGCAATGGTTTAAACCTCATAGAGACTCCCCAGGCCCCGGTCTCCGCATTGTCTGCAATGTGACTAACCGCCCGGGAGAGAAACACAACAGGCAGGCCGGTGCGACAGTGCCGACTACACAAGCAGCCCTCTGAAGACGCAAATGGGCGCTTGCTTCCCTTCTCCGTCCCCTGCGGTGCCTCAGCCAGAGCTGGACTCGTCTTTTCGATACCGTTGCTGAGTGAGCGCGCCGCCCCCAGCTCAGCTGTGACGCCCCATCAGTCCTCTGGTCTTGAAGCTCTGTGGTCCAACCCCGTTTTGTAGTGCAAGTGCTGCAGAAAACAGGTTTGAGGGCTTCTTAACTCTCGGTCTGCCTCTTAGAAGTGGGAAGGGATTGAGCTTGGGGTGTGAGGGGCAGCGGGGGCATCTGGGAATCGGAAGAACTGAAAGGAGAGGGGGGTGTGGCGGCCTGAGGCTAGGACAGCCCCGTGACCCCCAACCCAGGCAGCCACACCTCTGTGCCTGGTCCCTGTGTGTAGGGACTTGCTTCTGACCAAGAGAATAGGGAAAAGACAAAAGGACTGCGCAGATGTAATTAAGGTCCCTAATCAGTTGACTTGGACTTAATCAAAAGGGAGGTTGCCCTGGGTGGGCCTGGCCTAACCTGGTGAGCCCTTCAAAGAGGGCCCTTCAAAAGAAGAGAGTCAAAGCAGAGGGATGCTGCCCCACTGATCTTGAAGAGCAAGGGCCTTGCCGTGAACTGCCCGCGGTGGTGAGGGCCTTGGGCTTACAGCGCACGGAACCGAATTCTGCCTGCTGCCCATCTGGATGGGCGTGGAAGGGGACACTGAGATGGGGGGGGGGGGCTCGGCCTGGAGGAGCCCTTGACGGCAGCCTTGTGAGACCCCCAGCAGAGGACCCAGGTAAGCCGTGCCCAGACTTCTGATCTACAGAAACCACAAGGTCATAAATGGTGTTGTTTTAAGCTCTGTTTGTGGCAACTGGTTACACAGCATAGAAAACTAACACAGGTGGACATGGAGCTTGGAAGTCCCACCTTGAGCTTGGCCTCGCTCTGCCTGCGGTACCCCCAGACCCCAGATGATCTACCAGGCCGTAGCAACGACCTCCCATTTTAACTCCTTCCGGGCGATTCTGCACAAGCTGACAGATGAACTGCCCCCACCTGGAGCCTCCTATGGCTCCCCACGGCCCTCGCCACACAGCCCATCACCCAGGCCAGGTATCAAGGCTCCGCCATCCAGCCCTGCTCTCCCTGCCGGCCTCAAACCCCCCCGTCCCGTACCCCAGCTTCTGGAGACGAGCCCGACATCTCAGTCCCCTCTCCCCATCACTCTCCTTCCTTCCACGGTCCCCTTGAAGCCCCCACCCAGCCCTCCTGCCAGAGAAAATCCATTCCAACAAGGGAGACGATGGTGTCGACTTTCGAACAAACCAAGGTAACTTCCGGGCCGTCAGCAGACACAGTAGCGCGTCTGGGGAGGCGCGTGCAGGTGAAAAAGATGAATTCAGTGTCATAATTTTATATTTGGACAATGGGAAGAAGAATTCTATTCTCTTTCCAACTCAAATTTTAAAAAGTGAAGCTTTCTTTATTCAAAGTCTTGGTTGGTACGGATACCAACAGGAGCGACAATGGTCACATAGGTGGCCGTGTGGCAGGGTCCCCTGGGAGCAGGGGTAGAGAAACATGACCCACCTCAGCCTCTCTCTCCCTGGGGACACACAGACACTGTGGGTGTATACATACCTATAGCATAATTAGTATAATGTAATGTATATTTAATGTGCATGTATATAAATATACCACGCACATCACATGCAGCATACATATGTCTTTACTGCGCCTCGTGGGAACGTCTGGGAAGTGACAAACCCTAACATGAACAGTGACCTTCTCAGGGATGTGGGGTCTCTAGTCTCGATACATAGACCCCTTGTAAATGTCCCTGCTCGGGCTGCATATTGACAAGACGGGGTGGACAAAAGCAGGTTTACAGTCGTGAGTACATGAAACAGTTTATTCTTGTATTCTGTTGATTAATTGCTGCATTATTTTGCATACAAACAGCTGTAAACCCACTTTTGCCCCACCCTGTATTATTGGAAAAACCCTATCCGAATCGGAACCATCTTTTCCGGGGGGCGGTGTACACCACAAGCCTCCAGGGCAGGCGCGCCTTTTGGTCCGGCGAGTTTGCTTCTAGAAACACACCTCAAAGAACAGCAGGTGCACGGAGGTCGAAGTTCGAAGGCGCCTGAGAAGGACTCCACCGTGCTGATGCTGCCTGGAAACTCGATTCCCCAACCACGAGGGCAGGTCCCATAAACAAGGAGGGTATCGGGGTGACCGAACGCTGGGAGCTGGTAGAATTCATGACATTGGCCGTGGGAAGGCCTGGGAGAAAGGGCAGGTGGACAGTTACTAAGGAGAGTCTCAACCAATGGATGACAAAAGGGGAGACGGAGCCCCCGAGCACAGATGCCACCACGCCTGTGACACGCAGGTGCCTCCCAGCACCAAGAAACCCTCGGTCAAATTTTTTTGCTGTGAACTTCCATCCAGGGTAAAAACAGTCCTGAACCCCTATCTCTGTACTTCACACACACACACACACACACACACACACACTCACTTTACACACCAGTCATTGACTGGAAATGCCCTAGGAGCCAGGTGCTGTCCCCAGACCTGGGGACATGGCACCATACCCCTGCCCCCAAGAGCACGCGTGGTAGATGAAGACACCAGATGAAGGAGAGTGTGGGGCCGCCCTCTGAGGGGAGAAGCCGTGGGGGGGGGGGGGCTTGGCAGGCCTGAGAAGCCTCTGGGTTGGGTGGGGGATGGGGGGAGGGATGGACGTGGGGCTCTGATTGGGAAGCTGTTGCAGTGACAGAGGCCCTGGTGGCACCGAGTGTGAACAAGTGTCCCAGAGCCCCAGAGTGTAACACAGGACAGACTCTGCGCAGTGAGATTATGGGAGGTTTACATTTTCTTTCTTTGAGCTTTTCTGTGGTTCTCAAGCCTTTGCTTGACATTGACCATGCTGTGAGCGGAGTAATTAAGTTCTTGAAAAGCCCACCCACCTTCCAGGTTCCAACTCCAACCTGCCTCTCCCAGGAAGCCCGCCTGGAGTGCCACCAGCTCCGACAGACACTCCCTCTTCTGTGACTGCCCTGGCCGGTCTGCAAGGCCATTCCCGAGAGCAGGGGCCTCCTGGGCACACACACACAGTGGCCACAGGGTCCCTGGATTTTATGTGGAAAATGGGCTCTACCTCCCTGGGGCATCCCCAGGTTCTGTCCCTGCCCTCAGGACTGTGCAAACCAGGTCCCTTTGTACCCTCACTTCTGTCTGTGCCTCCAAGTCCCTCTCAAAGGAAGGAAGCGCTTGGAAAGCCTCAAGCCAAGAAATTCACAAAAGGACGGAGCCCCAGGGGTTCCTTGGAGGGGCCCTTATGGGCCTGGGGAAGTCGGGTGGGCAGGGTGCATCAGCCAGCGCCTGTCTGGGCTTCCCCCTTAGGGATGTGTACTGGGGTGGGTGCAAAAGGGTCCACAGCATTAGACCCATCTGGCAGCGAGTTAAGGAGAGGGACCCCACTCACAGCCCAGCACCCTGACCCTGGGCTCTGGGCTCTCCCAATCCCATTTCCCAACCCTTCTCCCGGGCTCTGAACTCCCAACAAGCCCCAACCCCAGGGGAGCCCCACTGAGGACCCTTTGGCCTCCTTTCCCTCCATACCCCCCTCCCCACCACTTCTCAGCAGCAAGACCCCAGGGGGCCAGAGCTGGCTCATCTTTGGACATCCCCCAACCAGTGTGACTCACCCTGCATCTCCGGAGAGTTTCCACCTCCCCCCAAGCAGGGGTTGGAGGGCCCTCCCTGTGCCCCCGCTGCACCACCTGCCCCATTAGGGTGCTGAGCACTTGGAGTTGTCACTGTCTCTTGTCCTGGTGTCCCCCAACTGTCCCTGCCCTCAGGCTGGGCACTATCAGAGGTGGTGCCACACCGGTGAACGAATGATGTGGTGCGCAAGGAGCTCAGCATCCCTGTGGCTCCGCCCCCTTCCCCGGGTCCCAGTGCCATCGGATGGCCTCCTCATCTGGGTCCCATCTGGGTGCGTTGCCCCCTCAGCCCCTTTCTCCAGGAGGAAAACGATAGAAATATAAAAACACACGCGAGACCTGCTTCTCTGAGCCTTACTTCCATACCTACATCCCCTCCCTCCGGCTTAAGGAGTTAAGAGGAAAATTCCAAGTACCGCACAGCATGTGTTGAGCAAACCGCAGGCACTTAGATGCGAGACTAGCACTTCCCTGGCTCGTGTGCTGCTGCGGCCCAAGAATGGAAGCTCCTCTCACCACCAGGGGGCAGTGCCATCCGCTCCGGCTCCGAGGTCGGAACACCACGGGGTAGGGGCTAACTCGGGCTTCCGGGAACCCCCCTCCCACTCCCTCAGTCCGGAGGGGGCAGGGGTTCAGAGGCTGCAGAGCGGTGGGAGGCCCCCATGCCCAGATTCCGGAGGGCAGGGCAGGGCAGGGCAGGGCTGGGAGGGGGTTTAGGGAGAGTGAGGTAGTGGAGTGAAGTGGTTAGAACAGGGCCACACAGGTCCTGAGACAAGAGTCTAGGAGAGTCCTGATTCCCCAAGGAGGTGCACACTAGCGATTTTTGAAACTGGCAGAGATTGAAGGAGCCAGAAGTTTCTTTAAGTGGTCAGTCATTCAAAGCCCTTGGTCCTCAACTAACAGCCCTCAGGAGCGGCGAAGGCCTCAGGGAAAGAAGGCCAACCTCGCCTCCGCCCTTCCCATCAGCACCTGCTCCAAGGAGAGCGGGACCGGCAGGAAATGTGGGCAGCACAGGGAGGAGTCACCAGGACCCAAACGCATGAAACTGCACCCCACCTCACCAAACTCCCACCTCCAGTGAAACCGAGAAACCACACCCCGGCTGACCCTGGGCCTCTCCAGGGACCGGTAGGGGCTCCCAGGCCTGACCACGGCTGGGGCTCACAGGGCAGCTTTCTCCACATGCGGACGTCCAGGTGCCCCTCCAGACTGGCCGAACCGGAGACTCTGGGGACAGTCTGAGAAGTTTGCATTTATTATAGCTCTGGACCGGAGGGCTGTCGGCTGTAGGGACCTGGGCTGCGTCTCTGCGCGCTCTCCCTGTTTTTGGGCAGGAAGAGACTGGGTGATGTCTTCGGTGCTGTCACCCGAGTAGAGGGACTGTCTCTCAACCCTGACGACCTGTCTCTAAACGGTTCCGACCAGCGCCTTCTCCCAGGAATCCAAGGGGCATGCATTCACATGTGTGTGCGCACACACAGGCCGGCTGGGCCAGGAGCCTACACTCAGCAGGTTGCTAGGAAACCAGGCCCTGGGGTCTATCCCAATCTTGAAAGAACGCCCAGTTCCCCAAGTAAGGCCCAGCCCAGGTGGCTGGCGGTCAGTGGTCCAGCAGCCGAGGTGTCAGTGGCCAGTCACAGGTGGCGGGCTGCTTCCCAGATGATCTGCAAGGCCATGGAGGCGCAGGGGACCTGGGCCACCGTGTAGGCCAGAGAGCGGGTGGGTGCCCGCAGCTTCCCCAGGTAGGCCACGGTGTGCACCATGCGGCCCAGGAAGACGAGGAGGAAATGCATCCGGGCCACGAACGGGTTGGGCTCCAGGAAGGAGTAGACAAAGCCCAGGAACAGGAAGGGGTAGATGTTCTCCATGTCGTTACGGTGGGCTCTGGAAAGGTAAGGGTGGACGGTCAGCCAGGTGGCAGCTTTGAGAATGTCCCAGAAGCTGGGGCCCTCTGCCCTGAAAGGCCCTGTGCCACTGGGGGTCATCTCAAGGGCACCAGACTCAAGTCCCTTTGTGGCCAGAACAAGAGGTACCCAGAGGTAGGAGGGGTGGCCACTCCCAAGCTGGCCCTGCCAGCAGCTGGGGAAACAGCCTGTTACCAGGCTAGGAGCCGTGGGTGGCTGGTTGGGGTCATCTTACCAAGCCCTAGGGCTCACCAGGACTTGGTCCCTGCCAGTCTCCCCAACCTTGTCCTCTGGCCTTGGACCTCCCCCACCACGGGCAAAGTGGGGCTCCAAGGTGCTGAGTGAGGGCCGGGTGGACCTGGGTCTGACTCAAGTTCACGCTCTTCATCAGCAAGGCCAGGCTTCTCCAAGGTTGCTCCCTTTCCAAACACAGGTTCCTGGGCCCTCCCAGGTGGAATGGGTTGGAGCCCAGGAGCCCGCCTCTGAAATCCACACCTGCCTCTAATTCTGCCCCTGAACAGAAGCAAATCCCCTCCCCCTTTCAGGGTAAAAACAACAGAGCAGCCTCCCCTGGCTGCAACCAACCAGCTGCCAGACCCTAGCGACGCTCTTCGTCCCATCTGTGCTGTCCTGCTTTTTTTGTTTAAAATAACCAAGTGTGTGATACAGGGTGGGCGGGGGAAGGGCTCAGGGCGGCCTGCGTATAACCCTGCCGTAAACAAATGACCGAGAAGGAAAACTCGCCCATTTCAGCTAAGAGTCCGTTCACATTTTCCATGACTCCTGCTGACGGGTAGCGTTCTTTACAGAGGGTGGGCAGGTCGGGCCCCACAAGTTAGACACTGAGCAAGTGATGACAGCCATAGACGGCATGATAGAGGCTCACATAAATGGGAGCCTGGTGCCAGGGCATGACCTCCCCGTGGGAGAGGCCACGCGTGTGAGGTGCAGGGACTCTGCTGCAGCAGGAGCCCCTTCTCCAGGCCTGCCTTCCAGCTGGAATGCATCTCACCTCCGCCCAGCCCAGCGCCCCGGGCGGTGACCCACTGCAGAGCCTTAGGCAAGGGCTGTGGTATGCGGCCTGACCAAAAGAGACTGGACCGGGCGGGGCAGGAAGAGGACCCGGAGCTCCAGGCAATCCACTGCTGGAGGGGTCTCAGCAGGGTGGGTGTCACGGGGAGGAAAGGTTTGCACAGCAGCCTGGAGGATGCAATGCGGGGCATCCACGCAGGGAAGACCCTTCCCAGGGAGGAGATTTGGCACCCACACAGGCTCTGAGGTGGGGAGAAGCACAGTATATTGGAAGCCTAGAAAAGTGACCCAAGTGGCTGGAGTGGGGTGCAGGAGGGAAAGCGAGGCCAGACAAGAGTGGGGAGGGGGCCTGAGAAGCAAGGTGAGGAGTCGAATTCAACCCCAGTGCACAAAAGCTCCTATAAAACCAGCAGGGCCTGGACCTTTCTTAGGTCAAACTCAGGACACAGTGGTCAGGGTCTCCACCCTTATGTCTTAGAGCCCAGGTGAGCCTGCCTTCTCCTTCTCTCCAGGAATCGATCTTGGGACCAGGCCACATGGAAAGGAAGTCCCTAACTGGGCAGGTGTCACCCACGGGGGTGGGGGCTGCTTCCTCCCAGACCAGAGACAGGAGGTCCTGGCTGGGTCTTGGCCACAGGGAAGAGGGACAGAGGAAAGCTGAGGGCAGGGGCCACTCCAGTTCCCCAATCAGGCAAGTCCCTTGCCTCACCTGTGAGTTACAGAGAGAAGGCGGCAAAGATCCCTCTAAAATCGCCCCGCCCTTGGGAATGGCCCTGTGACACAAGCGCCCCACCCGCTTGCTCTTAGAGGGACACATTTGGAAAACCTGTTTTAGGTCAGGTCAGTGTGTTCCAGAAGGTGCTCTGTCCACCCACATGGTGAAGCCACCTGGAGGAGTGTTCCTGTCCTGTGTGAGTTACAGGTATGAATGAGTGATGTCCCCAGAGTCCTGAACTCACAGCCCTGCTTGGCGCCCGCAGACTCCTGCCTAGCGCTTCTCTTATGGAGTCGATCCGTCTCCTAGTTGGTCCCCTCTTTTCCTGCTGCCTGACAGGTCCCCGGCATGACCACCTTTTCCAAGGACCTGCCTCTCGGGAGGGAGGTCCCGGGACATGTCCGAGACAGGGCAGCTTCAATTTTGCCATTTTTGCTTCCAGCAGTGTCTCAGGCATCCTTGGCCCTGGGGCCCACATTTTTTAATAAAAAGTGAATGAATGAATGAGTTTCACAGGCTGGTTATGCTTGTCCTGAAACTTTTAGGTAAATAGGTAATTTTTGTCATAGTTACATAGTTTTATCTAAAAGCTTCAGGAAAACCATAAGTAGGCTATGAAACCCATTCATTTACTTTTCCTTAAAAGTATCTATTTGTATTTTAAGAGTGAGTCTTTTTAAAGAAAGCAGTTAAGAGACTAGTTGGCCAAACCCCAAAGAGCAGGTGAGGGGGGAGAAGATAAGGGAGGGGACAGTCGTGGCAGGCATGGGCCCCTGGAGGTGGAGAGGGGCCCTTGCAGGAAACCAAGCAGGGGAGCTGAGCCCTGCCCCTTGGGGCTGGAAGGCTCAGAGTCGTCCCCCCTCCACCCCCGAACCATGAGGAAGGAGAGGTGGCTGGGACCTGGCGCTCAGCCCAAGGGTCAGGCCGGGTCCTCCCTCGCCCTCTGCTGTGTGCAAACCACAGAGCTGCCCCAGACAGGGAGAAGTGGGGAAATTAGGGATGATGCAAGAAAACGCATTCCCTTCCTCCCCGCCCCAAAATCTGGATGGGGAGACAGGACGGAGTCACGTACCCGAGAGATGCCCGGGCAAAATGTGTCATTCCGATAACCACGGCTTTTTCAGGGTAGAAGTCATCCAAGGCATCCCCGCTAGACTGAACTTGCAGGCTTCCTGCAGCACCAGCCCCGCCCCATCAGACAATCGGGGCAACACCAGCTGCACTCCGCGCCATCGGGTGAGGGGGAGAAGGAGGTCGGTCCCCTGGAGACAAAGCTGGCTGCCAGGGCCGGTCTCTCCTCTTCCCGTGCCCCGATCTCCTTAAACGCTGGCCTTGAACTCGGGTTGGAGACCCCGTAAAGAAAGGCTGCTCAGTTTTCAAGGCAGGTGTAATAGAAGACAGTAAAGTCGCCTTCAGGCAGAGGACAGCCTCCTGGCTTGACAAACCAGAGTCTTCCTCCATAGATAAGAGTTCCCTCCTCCAAAGGCTGCTGGGAGAGCCCGGGGGGCTTGGTGCCTATCAGGTGCTTAGATGGAGCTGAGAGGATTATGCTGAATGAAGTCAGTCAGTCAGTGAGAGACACATATCCTATGATCTCACTTGGAATCTAGCCCTAGCGGGTGTGGCTCAGCGGGTTGAGTGACGGCTTGTGGACTGAAAGGTTGCCGGTTTGATTCCCAGTCACGGCACACGCCTGGGTTGTGGGCCAACCCTCCAGTTGGAGGTGTGAGAGAGACAACAGATCGTTGCTTCTCTCCCTTTCTTCCTCCTTTCATCTCTCTCTAAAAATAAATAAAATCCTTTAAAAAGATGGTACCTGAGCCACTGCGTTCCAGGGAGAGACAGCCCGCCACCCAGGACACAGGGGACAGGACCCAGAGAGAAAAGCACTGGTCAGCGGCTGAAAGCATGTTGGGGAAATTGACAGACGGCAGCTTTGATCTGATTAACCCTTTCCTGATTCCAAATCCCTCACCCACACTTCCTCCTCCTTATGAAAAAGGCTTGAAAGGAGATGGAAGATGGTCTGATGGGTGCAAACCCGCCGTCTTCTCAGATCACCAGCCGTCTTAACGAAGCGTCCACAGAGATTCAGTCCCTGTCTCTGCTTATTGGGTCTGGCGGTGACAGGCGGCCCGAACACTGGCTTTTCTGGTTTCACCCTCGCTGCCGGTTCCTACACACAGACTCAGACTGGGCCAAAATACACAGGCCAAGGACTTGGGGGGCAGCCTAAAAAGGAGGTGGGCTTCCTCCTTTTCCCGGAGAGCTGGCTCCTGACTGGCGGAGCTGGGCTCATGGCCGGGCTCCAGCAGGTGCTCACCTGCAAGGCAGGTGTACCTCCAAGAGCCAAGGCCTGAGGGCTTTCCTGTTTGTGCAGAAGGGGGGCCAGACCACCCTGTAAACTCTGGTCTAATATTTAACCAGCTTTCGCTTCCAAGGCATCTTTCCCTCCGGGACCCGGTTCCAGCCGGTGCTTGAGGAGCTGGTGCCAGGCTGTGCGAGTCTGAGCTCTGTGCCCTCAGAGTTCATGATATAGAGTCAGGAGGAGGAGCCCGGGGGACCAGGAACCCCAGGTCCGGCACGGTAGGTCCCCAATAAATACCCACCAAATAGATACAAGGCATCAGTAGATAAGAGGTGCTCAGAAAGTGCTGAACTGAATCTCAAGCATTTGAATGTCACTACTATTACACATGGTGGGTAACTGTGGTCAGAAGAAAAAACTGACCCTGGCCAGGTAGCTCAGCTGGTTAGAATGTTGTCCCGATACACCAAGGTTACGGGTTTGATCCCCAGTCAGAGCACATATAAGAATAAAACAATGAGCCCTGGCTGGTGTGGCTCAATGGACTGAGTGCAACCTGTAAACCAAAGCATCACAGGTTTGATTCCCAGTCAGGGCACATGCCTGGGTTGCAGGCCAGGTCCCCAGTAGGGGGTGCACTAGAGGCAACCACACCTTGATGTTTGTCTCCCTCCCTTGCCCTCTAAAAATAAATTTTAAAAATCTTAAAAAAAAAAAGAATCAAACAATGAATGCATCAATCAGTAGAACAAACATCAACAACAAAAAATGACATGTGTGTTTCTCATATAAATTTTTTAAAAAACTGAATTGGGTGGGTGCAAATGTCTCTTGATGGCATGGGTACAGCCAGAGAAAACACACCAAGTGTTCATAAGCCCGTGTGATCACTCCTGTGCCTCAAGTGAGCTTGGCTACACAGAACCCCAGGGCCTTGGGGGAAGCCAACATCCTGCTGGTGGCTCCTGTGAGCTGGCTCAGGCTGTCCGGTCTGGGCAGCTGGTGCCCACTGCAGCCCAGAGGCTCAAGCCAACCCAGGGTAGGGGTGGGGAGAAGGGTCCCCAGTATGGATTTAAGAGTGGATAAGGCTTTTGTTCACTGAAGCACAACTAGGTCTCAGTAAAGGGTCTTGCACATAGTAGGTGCTCATTACATGCTAACTGGATGATGGCTAGATGGATGGGCCTCATATGAGGGACCAAATGCTGTAAATATATTAGAAAAGGTGAAACGGCAAAGAATTTCACTTCTCACATTAACATTTCTGTGAAAGGTAAAAGCCGCACGTGTACAGATTCTTTGCAGCGACCGAGAAAATAACAACGAAAATGAGAAAAACAGGCTTTAAGAAAACACTCTCTATTACTTCTACAGTGTCCCACCCATTTCTGCCTGCAACGCAGGAGCCCTGTGTGAGGGTCTCTCTCCTGTCTCGCTCCCGTTCGGCTGCCCACCCTCCCCACCTCTCCGTGACTCCGAGCGCAGCCCCCACTCTCCAGCCCCTGGTGTGAAAGAGCAGAGAGGAAACCGCCCAGAAGTCCCACACTGGGACTGGCGACATGGAATTAACCCTGAGTCTCGGATGGAATTTTTACACGGCCATATTTAAAGAATCACTTTTGAGTAATATTTACTGACATTGGAAAAAGCTCATGAGATGCTGCTGACTGAAAAATATCAGAACCCCCCAAACTGGGTATACAGCGCGTGCTTATGTGGATAAAAAATATATAAAGTATCTAGAAGACAAGGAGAGACAGACAGAAGAGAGTGTGAACAGGGACTGGAATCCTAAGTGGGTTTCCTTTCCTCGTCTCTGTATTGCCAACGTCACCCACATTGTCTGAAGTGAATAGTTCTGATTTCTATATAAGAAATCTTGTTTTTGATCGGCTGGGGGGATGCTAAGTGTAGGAAAAGATGTTCAACTTCTCTCGGGATAAGAGAAATGCAAAATAAACCAGGACGTGACATGCATTTCCACCTGTCACGTTGGCAGTGTGTCCGCCCGGAAGCGGAGGCGCCGAGGTGGCCGGCCAGAGAGCAGCAGCCTGCGCGGTGCCGGGCGGAGGCCTGAGGCCCCTTTGGCGGTCTTTCCTGCCATCTGACTGCATCCGCGGTTTTGCTCGCACGTGCAGAGGCCAATGAGAGGTTTTGTGCACTCTGTCTGTAGCACAGAGTAAGAATGGCCTCGGTGCCCATCAGAGGGGACTTAGGTAAGTCAAGGGTCAACCACGCGCAGGGCGACGACAGACACTGCAGCCGCCACACAGTGAAGGTCGGCGCGCTCTAGGAGCCAAGGTGAAACCATCTCTGCCGTGAGAAAGCACACAGTGCAGACCAGTGAGCAGAGGCTGATGGTTTGCAGGTGCGTGGGACAAAGCTCGGCACCTGTGTTTGTAAGGGCAGAGGAGCCTGGGACAGTGTCTGCCCCGGAGGGTAGCCCTGGCCGGGACACGGTGGTCACAGCCGACAGGGAGACAGCTCGCTGAATAGCCTTCTCTAACTTTGTAATCCGGGGCCATCAGCATGTATTCCTCTTCCACAGTTAGAAACCAAGGCAGTGAATAAGATGGGGCCACCTGAGGGGGCCAGGAAGGCAGCGGACCCGGCCTTGGGAGCCCTCCACGCCCCAGTGCTCAGAAGTGGGCGGGCCGAGTCCCGCGGTACTTGCCTGAGGCAGCGGTCCACGTACTGGTCGCTGCGGCAGTACTGGAGGCCTCCGTGTCTCAGGGCGTCCTCGGGGTTGGCGAAAGCCTGAAACACATCAGCTGAGAATTACTGTGCGTGCGATGGGCAGCCTGGTCACGTCCGTTCGCCAGCATCCGGGAGCTCCCTCTATGTGCTGAGTGCTGGGGACTCACAGTGAACGAGGCTGCCACACACCAAATGTTTGTGTCCCCGCAGCAGATTCAACCGTCCAGACCTAACATTTGTGCCCTTACAAAAAAGACCCCAGGCAGCTCCCTAGCCCCTCCTGCCGGGTGAGCACGAGGCCAGAAGATGGCTGTCTAAGAACGAGAAAGCAGGCCCTCGCCAGACCCAGCGTCTGCCAGGGGTTTGACCTTGGACTTCCAGGCTCCAGAGCAGTCAGCAATAAATTTCTGTTGTTTGTAAACTGCCCAGTGTATGGTATTTTGTTACAGCTGGCTGAACACACGAATGCAAAGGCTCTCCTGCCCCGCTCTTGTGAAGCTCCCAGTCTAACAAACCAGGACAGAATGGGGGGGGGGGGGGCGTGTTAAGCAAAAGAAGACAGGGTTGCCTCAAGAACATTCACAAAATGTTCACTCAGAGCTGACTGAGTCTGGGGATCACAGAAGGCTTCTCTGGGGCAGTGACAGGAAAGCTGAGGCTTGAAGGATGCATCAACATCAACTGGATGGAAGGAGGGCTGGAGCAACGGCAACTGAGGCAGAGGAAGAGCATGTGCAAAGGCCCCAGGGTCAGAACAACAGGGGCACTCAATGAATCGTCCATGGAAAGCAAAGATTTAAGGTCACGCTCAGGTTATCAAAGGCTCACGCCCATCACTCACGCTCCGCTCCTCCCTGCTGGCACCTGAGTAAGCCAGCTCCACCAGCTCACAGCAAACCCGGCCTCGGCACCGGGTCTCAGAATTGCCCACCCAATGGCGTATCCTGCTGCTTCTGACTCAAGATGCTTTGTGGCACCAGGCACTGGCTTGTCCTGCCTGGTGGGCCTGACCCTGTGCCCTCCCCAGAGGTAAATGGAGCCCATGCCTGATGCGTGTCTCAGGATCAGAGCACTGCGCCCCCCCTGCCCAGATTCTTCCCTCTACTAGCCCTAAGTCATGGAATCACCAATCCCCATGGCCCTGCACAGTCTGTGGACTCGTGACACCCTGTAAGGGGTCTCGGCATTCGGCAGGCAGCTGCCTGTGGAGTTCACGGTTGCCCTGCAGACGACTAGAATACAAGTCAGCCCAAGCAGGGACCAGCAGTGGAGTGGGCGGAGGAGGCCCGTGGCCAGAAGCTGGGGGGCCCCAGGGAACGCTGGTGAAGGGGTCCGGTCACAAGTCAGGAGAACCAGCACCGAGGAGCATTTACTGCACCAGGGCCCAATCCTCTTGGCGCTGTGACCACTACCCTGGCGTCCAGCGGAGGAAACTGAGCTCCCGGACAGGCTCGGGTCCCAAGGCTGGTGGGTGGAGGAGCCAGCGCCAGCACCTGCATCTGCCACCTCCGGGCCACCTCCCCAAGCTGAAATGAGAGAGACACTGGTGGGCTGGCTCAGTCTGAGGGGGGAATGCCGTCTGCCCCTCCCCTCAGGCCAGGCCGACAGGCACTCAGACAGACCTGCCTCCTCGCTTCCCCGAATTCTCAGGCAAAGGAAAAACTCTGGGTCCCAGAACCTCACTGTCGGGGTCCCACCCCCTGCGGCAGGGTGTGAACCTTGCAGCTGGACACCTGGGTTCAAACCCAGGTGTGCGACCTTCAAAGTAGGAGTGTCTCCTCTCCAGACCCGATTCCTCACGTGGAACACAGGCAACTACAACCCCTCCTCCCACCCCAGGGTCATGCTGGGGATTATTACTGCTCAGCACTCAGAAGGGACTCGGTGGGAGGGAAGGGCTGTCCCCGCTGGGTGTCTGTACCCGGCAGCCCGGGGTGGGCCACTGCAAGGAGGGGGCCAGGTGCTCAGTGTGCCAGGAGTAACTGCACCTGGTGGGCTGCCCTGGTGGAAGGCAGGCAACTCTACAGTGCCTACCCCGGACCCCCCCAAGGATGCCAGAGCCAGCCTCACCTTGCCTTTGCACTCGAGGAAGGGGCACGCTTTCCTGGAAGGACTGCTCTACTGAAATACCAGTGGGTGCCCCCTGGGCCTTGGCCCCCAGCTTCTCCACTCCCTCCCACCTTCCAGTGTGGGTGGCTCCCATCTGCTGGCCCCGGCTCAGGGCTGGGCCACTTTATTGCTGTTTTGGTTCTGGGACTCAGGGACTCCGACTGGAGGGCGAAATTCCTCCCTAGAAGCGGAGCCCAGCGGAGACCAGCCTGTCCTCCAGGGCCTGCGGCCGGTCTGTAAGTGACCGGGCCAGGGAGCTGGGAATTTCCACTGGAAGCTCTTGGGTCCTGTTTCGCCGGTTCCCACCCCACCCAAACCTCCGATCTCCTGTGCTGGGAGGCGGCCAGGTCGGAGGAGCGTTTCTGTGCGCTCTCTCTCCACCCCGGGGGCTCCTAGTCTCAAGAGCTCAGCCGCACTCATCGTCCTGCCTACAACTTAGCTGGTGGCACAGCTGAGTGAGGGAATCTCTTCAAACAGAGGACAGGGAGGCGCGGGCCCTGCTGAAACCCGGGGCCACGGAGGTGCCTTCCCTCAGGACTGGGCGAGGCCCCGGGGCCCCACAGCTCCGGACACTCGCATCCTGGCGCTGAAACCACCGTGGTAGCGAGCGGGGAAGCGCGCCCGCGGCCAGCGCGGGGATCCCCGAGGGCGGCACGTACCTTCTTCCGCAGCCGGACTTGGCCGGTGATGACCGCCACCACGTACATCTTGAGGATGAGCAGCGTGCTGCAGAGCAGGAAGGCCGGGAGCACCTGGCCGCTAACCAGCGCCAGGACCGGGGAAGGCATCTCGACGCGGGAGCTCCGGGAGGACGCGCGGCGGTTTCTAGAGGAGCGAGGAGGCGGGGAGAGCGGCGAGGAGGCCCGTCCGCGCCCAGCACCCGCCCACTCCCAGCCAGCTGCTGAAGCACCTCTGACCCTAGGTGCTTGGGGGAGCAGGCACCCTGCGGGTGTCCCAGGACCGTCCCTCCCCGGAAAATCCTTACCCACTTTCTGTTTCCTGTTAAAAAAATATTCAACCGAGTAAATTTGAATATCTAATTGGCTCTACTGAGGGATTCATGAATCAGGCCTCAGCCAGTCTGGCAGCTAAACGGGTGCTTGCTGCAAGGGACGGCTCAACACTGAAGATGTTTATAGGCAGAAGGTGGGGGGAGCTAAATGGGAAAGGAAAGAAAGGGTTCTTTTGAAGCCCCCATTTCTTTGGGGGAGGGGAAGAGAAGGGAAAGGAGTTTTATCATGAGATTGCCTCTTCTTTTCATGGGGGTGGGAAGGGGGCAGGTGGTGCCTGCATGCAGATCAGGGCGCTGGCCCAGGCATTCCAGATTGCTTGATTAGGGTTGTGGTCCAGGCAGAGGTTTGACTGCGATTCCTCCAGGCAGTAGGTCTAGTTTTGGTATCGTGGGCTTTTAGCGCCAGCGACGCCATACTGGGCCTGTGGTTTTCTCTTTGACGTCCCTCATCTGTAAAGTGGGGGTGTGCAGCTGTGCCTTCCATCGGGGGGTGCGACAAAGTGCGGCACCTGCCAGGACCTCTGCAGGTAGTAGATGTTGCTCACCTGTGCTCACCTCCCTGCGAGTCAGGGCAGGTGTTGGGCATGAGAACCGAGCCCTCTGCCCCCGACTCAGCCCGGACACCTGAGCCGCAGCCACACCCCCACCCTCACTGATGTGACTTTGCTACTTGCGATAGGCTGCATATTGCCCCCCCCAAGATGTCCCCGTCCCCATCCCCAGAGTCGGTGACTGTGTTACCCTACATGCCCAAGGGGACTTTGCAGAGCAGATTACCCTAGATTTCGTGGGTGAATCTGATTTAATCGCAGAAGTTTTCCTAAGAGGGAGGCAGGAAAATTTGTGGACAAAAAAGGGGGTTCTATGGAAAGTGGCCTCACAGGGTGATCTGATCATAAATCCCTAACTGAGAGGGTTGTGGTGGGTCGTTACCTTCCCCCGGCATGTAGCTTTTGGTTGTTTTAATTCTTAGAGAGAGGGAAGGGGGGGAAAGAGAGAGGGAGAGAGGTGGGGATGTGCGAGAGAATCCTCCTCCCACTGCCCCTTGCGCACGCCCTGACCTTTCCTCTATGGAACAGAACCCGCATCCCGGGCCTGGGCCTCGACTGGGAATCAACCAGAGACTTTTTTTGCTTTGCAAAACGATACCCAACCTACTGAGCCGCACCAGTCAGGACAGGCACATAACTTTTTAGTAAAAGGTTTACCTTTGCCTCGAGCAAGCTCCGTCCTTTCTTTCTGTGTGTGGACATTAACTGGCCTCTGAAATGAGCAGTGGCCACCTCAATGGATGGCAGTCTTGTCAACCATCCTGAAACCCAGCCTGCATTGCGCTTTCTCCCGCCTCCCCATAATCTTCCTTAGGCCCCTCCTTCGAGTCAAATGCAGAGAAGAAGCTGTGAAACTGTTCTTCTCTGGAGCACCTGAGATCTTGCTGCCCAGTCCATGTCATCAGCTTGGCTCAGATAAACTCTTAGGAAAATTCTCCACAGCCTTAGCTGTCTCTATGTAGGCAGATAAGAGGGAGAAAAGATAAAGGAAGAAGAAAGGTTGTTGAGGAGGAAGGTGTTCTACAGATCGCTTTGAAGATGAAGGGAGATAGCAGGAGACCGCAGGCGGCTCCCACCCAGGGGCAGTGAAAGACTAGGGAACCCCTGCTTCCTCAGAGCCTCCGGGAGGACCCGGGCTTGCGGACACCTTGACTTTAGCCCACAGGGGTTGATTTTGGACTGCCGGCCTCCAGAACTGGCCTCCAGGCAACCAATCTGTGGTCATTCGCTAGAGCAGCCACAGGGCACAGGCCCACACTCACGGCTTTTCTCGGGCATCGCTGTGCTTTCCCGAGAGGCTCCGGGCAAGTTGTGGTGACTTCCCCAGGGGTCCATCAGCTCTGCCCTGGACCGAGTCAGCGGTCTGTGCCCTGAGAGTCTCCTAGGCCCTTGTTTCTGAATCCTCACCTTGCTGCATCCCCTTTCCCAGGCTTGGGGTGGGACCTCGGCAAAGGCAGGACTCTTGTCCCTCTAGTTTTGCCAACACGGCTTGCTTTGTCAGGGGCGCCCTGGGGAAGTGGGGGTGAGGGAAGATCTAACTTGGGCCTTCCCGAGGGGACAGCAGTGTCAGTGTGGCCTGTGTCCCAAAGCAGCAAAGACCAAGGCAAGGGCTGGTCAGAGGACAAAGACACTGGCCATGTGCTCTGGAGCCAGACTCAGCTGGCATGGAGTCCCGGGGCCGGCTTTCGGTGGCAGCTGTGTGGCTTCAGGCAAGCAGTTTCCCTCTCTGAGCCTGTTTTCTCAACTGTAAAACCCAGCTGGCAGTCGCTCACTCCCCAGAGCAGCTGAGAGAACTGAGATAGTCACGTCTAATTGTGCAGCGCCTGGCAGGTCCTGGGCCCTCTACCAGCTGAGCCTCTGGGCCTCGGGTTCCTCAAAGTGGGGACAGCAATTCCGACCCAGCAGGCCTGCCAGGAGGGAGACCCTTGGAACTCCCACCCTTACTGCTTCTCGTCCATTTGCCATATGCCGTATCTTCCTGCATCTGGACAAAAGATTCACTGGCAAATTAAAAAAAAAAAAAAGTAAGAAAGAAAAGAAAAACAAAAAGAGACACAGTGGACACCCACGTTTCCGGAGCGTGGGGCTGCCAGACAGGGCGGTCCCAGCCCCCAGAGATACCTCCGGGTCATGGCCAGGGACCGGGCTGGAAAGATAAGCCTGAAATCGGGTTTATCTCCAACTGGGTACAGGGTGGAACTGTGAGAGCTGGCTCCCTGGATGTTTCTATTTGAGAACAGAGGATGTCGGCCTCCTGTGCCCCCACCTCGGGGGACTGCTGGAGGTGGCTGTCTTCCTTGTGGCTCAGAAAGCTCAGCTGTGGGGTCTTTTGTGCCCCCTGAAAGAATGGTGGACTAGAGACAGCCAGAGAGGGACCCTGGGAATCCCTCCCTCCTTTGTGTAGGAGGCATGCGCAGTCCTGCTTGGTCTCTTCTGAAACGAGATGAAACACCCCCCCCCCCCCAGCAGAAACTGGGAAAACCAGCGCAGGCAAAGGGTGGGTGGTTACCTGCTGGCTCCTGAGGCCCCAAACCAGTGGGGCTTTAGGGAGGCCCTTCTGACTACACGTGTGTGACTTCCTGGTGGGAATGTTTGCCTCACTGGCTACTGAAATCAACCAGCTGAGCCAGGGCCTGGCAAGGAGGACAGACCCTTCTCAGATCTTCGGCCAAGATCGTCCCTAAAGCCTCACTGGGCTGGTGTTCGTGCCGTGTGGTTTCTCGTGGCAGCCACGGGTGTGGGGCCAGTTTTCCCTGAGCTCCAGGCACATTCGTTGCCTGTGAAACAGGGGCCCCTGCCTCACAGGTATGAGGGAGACTGGAGAGGGGGTGGGGTGCTCCCGTGGGCCTGGAGGCCTGTGGGAAATGCACCAAGCTCCATTCAATGGTACCTTTATTGTATATTTTAATCTCTTATTTTCATTGCATCTTTTCCAAACGTTCACAACAGAGCCGCTGTCACCTTTCTACACCTCTGTGCAAACAGGAGCTGCGCCCAGAGCCCCGCGCACTTCCTCCAGCTCGTCCCCCTTGGCGTTTCCCGTGGTGCAGGGAGCAGGTCTTCGCGGAGCAATTGTCTGACTTCAGAGGAGGCTCGGAGAGAGAAGGAAGCAGCTCCGCCTTGCCGCTGGTTCCTGACCCCAGGGAGCGGTCTGGGGAAATGCGTGGTTAAGGAAAAAACCCTAAACCGGGACTGCCCTTGAAGTGACCTTCCAGGTCAGATTTGTACTGTAGTCATCACGGTGATGGGGAAACTCCAGAGTGGGAAAATTTTAGTTTCGAGTAATAGTTAGTAATTAATGCAATTAAGCCTAGTAGTTCATGCGTGTGCAAAGCTATTGTTTCAGGACCTGCAGGCACGGCCGCCCTGACCCCAGGAGACCACAGTGGTTGACCTTTGTGCTCCGGGAGAGATCGTGAACAATCTAGATGCTATCCGAGCCATTGTGCTCCGAGGAGAGACATTCCGCCGCCCAGGACACAGATGAAGAAAATCACCCAGGGACTTCTGGGCAAGATGGAGGTGTAGGTAGACACACTTCACCTCCTTGCACAACCATAAGCAGGATCACAACTAACCTCAAAAAACAAAAGCACCCAGAACTGTGTGGAGTCCCAAAACCCAGGATTTAAAGAAGCCATATTCACCCAGATGGGCATGTGGGGCGGAGCCGGGGTGCAGGGGTGGAGAGGATGCAGTGTGGCAGCGGCAGTGACACAGTGGTGGCGGAAGAAGCGGTCCCACATTCATGAGTGGTGGATAAAATCGGGAGGGAGGATTAGAGACCGAGTGATCCCGGCCACAGGCCAGACCACGCAGCCCAGGGTTCCAGTGACTGGAAAACAAAGCCTCGTGACTTCTGGCTGTAAAAACCCATGGGGCTGGGGCGGAGGAATAAACTGCCGGTCTGTCAGGAGAGGCTTTTTAAAGGGCCTGCACGGTCCTAGAACGAACAGGAACCCACCTGCTCTGGGAACCAACACCAGAGCAGCAGCCAGGGGGGTGTCTGTCGCAAACAGGAACGGGAAGAAGTGACTGGAAAAGGGTCGTGTGCTGAGCAAGCCTCAGCATCATGGTCCCCTGTCCACTCCCTCCCCCACTACAGAGCCACAGAACAGTGAAGCGGGTTTTCTCTCACAACTACCTAGGGTTCTCCCACCCCATACAACTTAACAGGTGCCTGAGAGAAGGAGTCAAAGTAGCTCTACCTAACACACAGAAACAGACCCAGGGAGGCTGTTAAATTGAGGAGACAGGAAACGTGGCCCAAAGGAAAGAACAGAACAAAACCCCAGAAAAAGAACTAAATGAAGTGGACATAGCCAACCTACCAGATGCAGAGTTCAAAACATTGGTAATAAGGACTCTCAGAGAACTCACTGAATACAGCAAAAGCATAAGGGAAG